TCTTTGTTAAAATAAAAAAATCTACATCAACACAGCCACGCGGTAGCACAGAGCGCACTAATTTTTGGCTTTTTACTAAAGAGAGCAGTGCTAGGGGCACTCGCTTTTTGCATTCTCCGGCCAACACTTCCCTTTTTATTGGGCCACGTAAGCTTCTTTAAAGCTTTCAGGGAATAAATCTACGTCAGATGACATTCATGAGTGTGGGTCTAAAATTTTTCCATCCATAATTATAAAATATGCATTTTATAATAATAAAATTACAAAATTGTCAAGTCAATTAATATTATCATAAGAGCTTAAATGCATTGTTCAATAATAATTAGCCATCTAAACTGCTAAAATCTTGAAGATTCAAGTCAGCTTCTTTTTTTTTTTTGTCCTTTAAAAAAAAAAAATAAAGATAGGGTTATATATAGCTCATAGTCAATACCAAACTTGTATTAATGTGAATAAAATATTCACAAAAGCAGCATAAGAAAAGCAGAGGATGCGTTTACTTCGTTCAAAAAAGAGAACATTCTGAGATTGTGAAGGAACATTATGGTAAGCTTCCTTGAAATATACAAATTTTTGCTCCATGGGCTTATGAAGATGGCCGGGGTTCGACCCCAAGCAATAGAGATCGAACCAGGGACGGTGATCAACATATGGGTCCCAAATGAAACCATGAAAAACAAGCCTGCGGTGGTCTTCTTGCACGGCTTTGCAGCAGACGGCATCATCACATGGCAGTTTCAAGTGCTAGCCTTAGCCAAAAAGTGTGCCATCTATGTGCCGGATTTCCTCTTCTTTGGCGGCTCCATCACCGACAAGACGGACCGGTCTGTCAGCTTTCAGGCGGAGTGCATGGCCAAGGCGTTGGGGCAGCTGTGTGTGCGGAGGTGTACGGTGGTAGGGTTGAGCTACGGCGGGATGGTGGGCTTCAAGATGGCTGAGATGTACCCCGACCTGGTGGAGTCTATGGTGGTGACCTGCTCGGTTATGGCTCTGACCCAGTCCATAAGCAACGCTGGGCTTCAGAGAATTGGGTTCTCTTCTTGGGTTGAATATTTGGTTCCTAATTCGGTCCAGGGTGTCAAAGTGCTCTTCAAAATTGCTTGCTATGATCTTCCATGGCTGCCTAATTGCATTTTCAAAGACTGTTTCAAGGTAAACATCCCCACCATCATCACCATCACCATCACTATCACTATCGGTCTGTTGAAGTCAAGCTATATATACATTTTATTAGGGATTTGCAATTAATTATGTTTCTATGTCAATTTTTATGAAATCAAACCTTGATTAATAAGTGTAGATGAAAACTTCAAACTACAACTGTAGATATAAGTAGTAGTATATGTTAACCTTTTGCTTTGAACAATGATGACAGACCATGTTTAACAACAGAAAGGAGAAAAATGAGCTTTTACAGGCTTTGGTGATTAGTGATAAAGAATTTTACATCCCTCATTTACCACAGGTAATTAACAATCCAAGCCTAATTAATTTCCTAATTTCTTAATTTTCTTGGTCTTTTTTTTCTCAGCACTTGCAAATTTATCATTTTTTGTGGGATATATATTATTATAACTTTGAGTGTACTCAATTTATGCCAATGGTTGCAGAAGATCCATCTGTTGTGGGGAGAGAATGACCTGATTTTTGACACCAATACTGCTTACAACTTGAAAGCGTAAGTCTCTTTAATACAATCCTTCATATAAATTGAGTATAATTAAGCTGATAAAATTAATAATTAAAACAAATAAATCCCTATATTACGAAAATCAATTTATAGTAAAATATAACTCTCTCACATTTAACACACTCTCATGTAAAAATCTTGTATCTAAAAAATATAACATGTGTATATGTAACCAAGATTTTGACTTTTAAAACTGTTTACATATGCAGGCAGATTGGAGAAAATGCCACGGCACATTTTATAGAGAAATCTGGCCATCTCCCTCACTTGGAGAGAGCGTGGGTGTACAACAAGCACCTAAAGAAAATTCTAAGCTCTCTTTGGGAAGAGAATGGTTGCAAAAACTAGTGGAGTCTTGGAAAAATATTTTAACTCTTTCTTGTGGTCGATTTGTTTATAATTTAGTATTAAGAATTCGTGTATGAGGATTTGAATCAAAACTTTGCAGAATTATTCTAATTTAACCATCACATGAAATCTATTATATATGTTTGCCCACTTGAAAATGAAAAGATAAAGAAAATATTTTAAGCTCTTTTGAATTTTTTTTTTCTCAGTTTCTATAAATTTTACAATTATTGAAAATTAAAATTAAAAATTTATTTAAAATAAATTTTAACGCTAGCAATAAAAAAATATGAATTTATTTAATAATATTAAAACTTTTTTTTTCTAATAATGAGGATAACATATTGTGAAAACATATGAAAGAAAACAAATTTTATTTTTAGAGCTACTAATTTTATCTTGCAAGGTGGTTTTGAACTCTTTTTAATTTATTGTTTTATTTGGGGAGAAACTGTTTTTCTTTAATTTTTGAATAACTCGAGGCAAAGAAGTCAAAATGACAAAGGATACTTAGAGAAGGAAGTTTTTTTTTTTCTTTCTTCATTGATATTTATTATATGCTCTAACATGGCAACAAGATCTGATATTTGCATGTGAGATTATATTGTCTTTAGAATGTCCACAAACATGGCAAAAAGCTTGAACCAATCTTGAGAAAATCATTTGGCCTTTAATTAAAGTCAGAAAGAGAAACCTAGTTAAGTGATAAAATGATTTATCTAATTTGTATTTTTAAAGGTGTAATTAGTATATATTTTTTATATTAATTAATATAAAAAAATGACATTAATTTTATTATTAATATTATATGTATTATTTTAATTAGATGATTGATTAAATAAATGTTAAATTTTATTTTTTAATAATAATTAATACTAAAAAATATTTTTAATATGTAATCTTAAAACACAAATTAAAAAAACCCAAAGATTAAAAACTTAGAGAGAGGAAAACATGAATGAACGTAATAGAGAAAGGCAACAAGAAGCAGAGCAACAGTAGTAATAAGAGAGGAGAGACCTGGAAAAACAGAGGGGTCAAAGCTATGGGGAAATGGGGAAATTTCAGGAATAAAGTTGGAATTAGAGAATTACGGCCCTGAAGAGCGAGATTTGAAGGGGATGTTGTGAGGCGAAGCCATGTAGGGAGCTAGCATGGCGACAGGCATGGGCAATAGCAGTACTTTATTTTTATATTTAAATAAAAAATAATAATTGTT